GAACATGAATATGGCTGGCCTGACTGTTGCTGTTGAAGGCAGATGCTACAACCATGGCGATGGTCTCTGGTCAGACACTATCTGTAAGCCCTTCCATAAGTCATACCAACATTTGATGATCACCATTTCTCACTTTTGTGAAGCACTGGTACATGAGATGTTGTATCACATGGCCTGTGACCAACATACTGTGTTGCCTCTGACCAACATACTGTGTTGCCTGTGACCAACATATTGTGTTGCCTGTGACGACTACCCTATATAAGTGATGGAGATTTTCCAAATCCCAAGGCCATCCATCCCCATCTGACCGCATCAGCAGCTGACTGGCTGGGGCTGCACTGACGTGAGAAGGTCACTGTAACTTTCACAAGTGATCTCCCAGAGGCCAGTGATAGAGCTACATGAAAAGGTGATTGCTCATACTGGTCCTAGGCCATATGCAAGAAAAGTCCCTATCTTTAGGGATCTCTCAGCAGCAATAAAGGATGTCTCAGCAGCAGTAAAGGATTCTCTCAGTAGCAGTAACGCATGTCTCAGCAGCAGTAAAAGATCTCTCAGCAGCAGTAAAGCATGTCTCAGCAGCAGTAAAGGATCTCTCAGCAGCAGTAAAGGATGTCTCAGCAGCAATAATATTAAAGGATCTCTCAGCAGTGTTATCTAGCTATTAGTATGGCATGTCCCATCCTCCAGACACTTTTGTCCATATGGAATAGCCACAGAATGCATCAGGTGACTAAGAACAAATGAGGCTTATCCTCCTTCCTGACCCACACAGCCCACATTAGACTACCCTCAGTCTCTGAATATATATCATTTTGATAGTAACAAATAAAACCCATTTAGTAGCCCCAGCAAGCTGGGATATTCAGAGAAACCTGGGCGAAATCTAGACTTGCTTCATTTAGGGCTTTAGCATTGCAGGGAAGGCTAGGCAGTAGGGAAAATAATGTGGTTCAGGGACTGTGAGACTGACTAAGCCCACATCTCAGACACAGCATTACTTGCAGACAATAAGGATGTAGGTTACAGACTCAGTATCCAGATGGAGATTAATAGTATTAATTGCATGAAAAAGGTGCAAATTGTAAATTTCATCACTTTACTCAAATGTTTTAAAGACTAGAAGAGAGGATTCACCGCACGGAAACACTGAAAGGTGAAAGGGTACATACATACGAACACAAATAGTGTCATTGGAAAGTTATACTTGATATAAACAAGGTAACTGAAATACTGCTATATTAAGGTCAAGAGAGCAGATGCATGAATATTTTGGAAATGTGTGGCTCATAGAACAATAAATGTAGTTTAGCGATCAGAGGAAACAGCAAACAGTGATAATGGTGGATGACATAAATATAGCTAGCAGTCTTTCTACACTCTGATCGCACTTTGTTTGAGTGAACCCAACTCATTGAGCTATGTTGACCAACTGCATGAGATAAAAAAAAAACACATGTGTGTTTAGGGTAACAAGAAATCATAAAACAGGGTCGGTAGGTAGGGTTTATCGGGTCTTTTTCTTACATTTTTTTTTAAATGCACTCGCATATTTGTCATAAAATCAAATATTTATGTAATATCAGGCACCAGTTTTGTAAGTAACACAGCAAACCCCAAAACCCAATTGGCTACCGAGTACAATATGGACATGTGCAACCAAAGGGAATGTTCTTTTTACAATTTAAGTGAACAGACTTCAAATAACGACCACTTTTGAAACAGGGCCAACTTTTCTCACAGGGAATGTCTGAAGCAGACAGTAAATAAACAGAATCTTGTGTGATGTAGGACTCTGAATATGAAACAAATCCAACTTCTCAGGAAGACTCTCCATGAAATCGGGTTCCAGGAACTGATCTCAAAGAGCTCTCTGACAAACATGGCACTAAGCCAGACAGAAAAACAGGAACTCTTAAAGACGCCAAGATCAAACCAAATCCAATATGTCAATATTCCTAAATATGAGTATCAACGATCCAAAATCAATTCCGAAGAATAAACTCACTGAGAACATGATCCAAACGACAGCTAATAACTCAGAATGTCCATAAACAAGAATTACGCCAGCACAGTAAGCTAATTATTTTAACGATGTGGGGTCAAAGATTTGTCCAACAAACATGTGGCAAGAAGTTGAGAAAGTACCCAAAGGATTGGACTGAACGAAAACGCTCAATGCCACCACATAACCAAGAAACACAGATCGATAAACTAACAGCTTAAACAGTCGCTTGCTCTAGCAGCAAGCTTTGAGAAGCAAGCTCCCCCCTCTCACCTGGGCCAAAGTGATCTTCCATCCAAATGGCCAAGCCTAAATAGGACTAATTCGTCGGAGGCAAGATTACTGAAGGCCAAATGTGAGAGTGATTACTGCCTGTGCTAATCGGACCTAGAAAATCCAAGATGGTGGGTGGTCAGGTCTGATGAGAATACTGACGAGGATGGCATCACCTTCAAGGGCATTTTCATCAAATTGAGTTCAGGTTCAGCAATGATATTCAGAATGCTTCTACAAATTGCTACATTGATCAATCATCTGTTTTAATTTTTTCTGCAAGCTATGCAACTATCTGCTATCATAGATTTCTGAAGAAGTTAATAAAAAACACAGAAATCAGCATCAGTGAATTAAAGTCTAGTACTTGCTATATCAAGCAGAAAGTAAGACTCATCTACCAATCTGTATAACAGCTAGTTACAATTCTGGAAAATACCTTATTGCATGACGTAATATTTCATGGCTTCTGGAAGAAAAGGTTTCAAGAACACATCAAAACATGCTGGTTGTGTTCATCACGTGGAGTAATCCATCAACGTGTTCAAACTGTTACAGAATATTACACACGACACACAAAGAACAACCCATGCAAACTCCTAGAAAATGTGGGCAGGATGTCAACTTGGATTGGAATATTGGAATAACTCACAAAAAAAGTTATTTCTACATTGTACAATGAAATTCTAATTTCTTTCAACTTATTTTTATCATGTGACAGTAACCGATTTGAGGAATCGAACCCACGTTTCAGTGTGTGAGCTAATGCCTTATCTGCTGGGTGAAATCCTGGAAACACTTATGTTTAGCAGATCCCGGCTTGTCTAAGGGAAGCAACTCTGCATTCTTTACTGCAGTACATCGGGCTGCCACAAACTTGAAACATGAGTTTAGGCACACATATCAGTTGGTCTATGCTTCTCATTGGCAACCATGTGCATCAAATATCTAGTCTGGTTACCTCTAACAAGACTATAATCTATCCTGGAATCCTGTGACAAAAGTTATACACTGCATTCATCCCCAGTCCAGCCATGTTGCGGACATGGACTCTACAGCTTTACACATTCATCCACGGTATAGCATGAAGTCCCAGTCCAGCCATATTGCAGACATGGGCCCTACAGCTTTACACATTCATCAACGGTATAGCATGAAGTCCCAGTCCAGCCATGTTGCGGACATGGGCTCTACAGCTTTACACATTCATCCACGGTATAGCATGAAGTCCCAGTCCAGCCATGTTGCGGACATGGACTCTACAGCTTTACACATTCATCCCCGGTATAGCATGAAGCCATCCACGGTATAGCATGAAGCCCCAGTCCAGCCATGTTGCGGACATGGACTCTACAGCTTTACACATTCATCCCCGGTATAGCATGAAGTCCCAGTCCAGCCATGTTGCGGACATGGACTCTACAGCTTTACACATTCATCCCCGGTATAGCATGAAGCCATCCACGGTATAGCATGAAGTCCCAGTCCAGCCATGTTGCGGACATGGGCTCTACAGCTTTACACATTCATCCACGGTATAGCATGAAGTCCCAGTCCAGCCATGTTGCGGACATGGACTCTACAGCTTTACACATTCATCCACGGTATAGCATGAAGTCCCAGTCCAGCCATGTTGCGGACATGGACTCTACAGCTTTACACATTCATCCACGGTATAGCATGAAGTCCCAGTCCAGCCATGTTGGGACATGGACTCTACAGCTTTACACATTCATCCCGGTATAGCATGAAGTCCCAGTCCAGCCATGTTGCGGACATGGACTCTACAGCTTTACACATTCATCCCGGTATAGCATGAAGTCCCAGAGCCATGTTATGGACATGGACTCTACAGCCCAGTCCAGCCATATTGCAGACATGGACTCTACAGCTTTACACATTCATCCACGGTATAGCATGAAGCCACAGTCCAGCCATATTGCAGACATGGACTCTACAGCTTTACACATTCATCCACGGTATAGCATGAAGTCCCAGTCCAACCATATTGTAGATATGGACTCTACAGCTTTACACATTCATCCACGGTATAGCATGAAGCCACAGTCCAGCCATATTGTTAGACATGGACTCTACAGCTTTACACATTCATCCACGGTATAGCATGAAGCCCCCAATCTTTGGCAAGAACACCTAACTTGTTAATGGCAAAGTTACCCAACCTTCCTAACTAGAATAACCATTGAGTTTCAGGGTGTCATTGTACAAAGCAATCTTAGCGATAAGGTGATGATAACTCCTATTCTTTAATATCGACTTGTGGCAAAGTAGTGTTAAGGTTCTTCTGTACAATGGCACCCGGTTCACTAACTATCTCTAGGACATTACTGCCACACAATGTGGCCTGAAGATCTTTGTCAAATCTGGTACTAATTATGAATACTGTCCTATTGCAAGCTGCTGCATCATCAAACTGCCCCATCTCATACAAGACCACAGCATCCTAATACCATGCTTTACACCATGGCATGTCACTAAATGAAAAACAGAAAAATATATATAAAAAATAAAAATCTAATGAATGAATCTACAAGATTCTGAAACAAACAAGAGAAACGTGAGCAGTGTTAATCGCTGAAGACCATCGGATTAGGATTAAAAAGATTAACCACACTGGATTAGGTCACACTCAAACAGCACTGGTACTGAAACAAGGGCGGTGAACACTGTCTAGCTAGGAGACCAAGTAAAGCGTTACCCGTGGAGACTAGCATTGAGAGTCCTGCACCTGAAAAAGCCAATTGGATTCAAAAATGTTTAAAAAATCATTTATCTGACACAGAGATATCTTAAACAATGAATGAGTTTCAATGAATCTGAACATGGCTGATGTAAGAAAGCATGGAATGTTAGTTATGATGTGAAACATGAATGTTTGTCAAAAACCAGAAGCTGAGATTACTTGCCCAGTCTACTACCTACTAGTCCTACGAGTTACTGCTATTCTCCAGACTAAGCAGCAGGTGCTTGGGGTTGTCCAATGAAATCTTATCAAATATTATTACTCTTCACCTCAAGATGGAGAATATTTAGTGTATATATAAGAAACAAAATGGCAACTGTCATATGGATCACTTAATTTCTTTCCCTACATCAAGGTCATCAGAATTTTTAGGGGGTTTTCATTATCAATATTTAATCAAGAAGATTGTCAGGACAATCCCTGTTCCTGTTAGAGTTTATCACTAATGTACAAGAACTGATGAATCTGCAGAAAAAGCACATGAACAAACGCGTTCTCTGAAGATCTTGTTAGAGTTTGTGAGTTTTACTATATACCCATGTAAACTTAGGATAGTCATACAGGGGTGCAATACGAATGACGTGGTCACATTCCGTATTGCACCCCAGATTCCTTATTGAATCCTGCCTGTTCTACTTTCTCTACACCTTGATTCATTTTATTAAGTAACCGATTAATGCAAGATAAGAGGGTATATAATAAATATACTTCGAACTCATTGTTCCTCTGCTCCCATGACATCTTCGAGTTCAATACAAAACATTCATGGCGTTCTATATATTTATTAAGCCCTTATGACCCTGTTGTCCTAAACAAGGATACTGAAAGCATGATATGCAATATTGAAGGGAGCGAGGTGACTATGTTTACCAAGTTTGTGATTAAGTGTTGCTGGAGGGCTAGGTGGAGACGCCTTCCACCCATCAATCAGAACCTATACCTATCTGCATAATATCAACAATACTGGCATGGTCACGCAATAAAAGGGTGATAAAAAACCCAGTATCGTCATATTAATGCAATTATTTCAACAGCTGTTTTCCTTTTATGAACAGTAAAAGCCAAAAGGATGTTTATTTGTCAGGAATAAAAAGAGGTATCCCAATGTCAAGGTCTTTGTAACAGCGTTGACGAGAAGTGTTTCTCATTGAACCATAGCCATGTCAACAGCGAAGGGCACAAGATCAAAAGTTTCTTTCAACCAGGGTATTAGAGTGTGGTCTGAACGAGTAGTGTCAATTTGCTGACTTGTATGAAGATATCAGTGTATAAACTGGGTGGAGATGAGTCATCTCAGGAGTCTTAAGCTGGCATACCATCTCCCGAACAAATATTGGAAAGTCAGTGAATATGGTTTACTTCTGCTTTCAGCAATAGTCCAGCTATACCTTAAAGGGGATGCCATAAAAGGGTTCACACTTTGTACCAGGTACAGAATAGAACCCAAGTTCTTGGCAAGACGACCAACTGCTTTAGCAACTGGGCTACCTTATCCCACATTAACATTGTGAAGTATAATCTCCATTTCATGGCAGTTTAGCGTAACTTATCACTTCTCTGGCAAAAGAATCCTGCAACATATTAGAGAAGCCAGGTCTCATGTTGGCATGTTCTGCATATCTTATACCAGCACAGGAAGTAGGTGAGACATCACCCTGCTACAAACCCCATACTGTAGTCATGGGTGAGTGACCAAACAGACGTATTTCAGTAATTGTCTGTATGTCAACTTAACATGGAAGAACGATAGTGATGAAAGAAAACCTACAACTTGAGCCAACTCTGAAGCATGGTATGAATGAGGATGAATCAAGATCACACCAATTACTGTGATTCAAACCTATGACCCACAGAATGTGACATGGCTCCACTGAGTGAGTGAGTGAGTGAGTGCTGCGGTCTACTGCCGTCACCTTGAATGTAAGAGGACAACAGGTGCTTGGGGTTTACCATGTTAGTGAAACCCATGGAGCTGACAAACCTAGAACTATACCTCAACTTGGCACACACAAGATGCCTGTGCCAATATGCAGTACCTAGACTGCTGCACCAGTTTGCAGCGCCTTGGTTGACGGTGTCAGTATGCAGCAATTCAGACAACTAGGCTACTGGTTTTATTCATATGGTAAAGTGGACAATTATCATGTTACCACTGGTACCTGAGCTTAAAGAAAAGAGTGATATTTTTATACTAGAGCTCCTTTCATTGAAATACCACTCTGAATGAATCCAGCAGCCAAGCCAACCAGTGCAGTGAATGGCAGAAGCATTGTTGGAAGCTAGAGAGCTGGTGAGATAATTATACTCAAGCCTGCAACTTGGATACTAGTTCACTAGTTCACCCGTTCAGTCCCAACCTAACGCTGCTAGATCACTCACAGGTGTCCTGTTGCCGCTGACTCCAATCACTTTCTCTCTAACCAATAAAATCCAAGAGCTGAGAAGGAATTTGCCACTGCTGGAATCTGCACTATGTTCAATGTGTATTTTCAGGACAAGAGACTGTCATTTGAGTTGTTTCATCTGCTTGTGCTCTCACGGGGTTTGAAAATTGTTATTTTTTTATAAATATTTGAAAATTACAGCAACAATCCTGATAGATATTAAACTTTCAAATAATGTGTAAAAGAACATGTCGGAAAATGTCTCCACTGCAACAAGAGTTCTCCCAATGACAGGTGACAGACGTCTAGTGACAGTCCAGTCCAAAGGTGAGTCCAGCATGTTCACTGAAGTGAACATCAAAATCTGCTGAAAATGATGACCAGTGACAAGATCAGGCTGGCAAACAGACCAAACTGATAACCAATAGTCGTCAGACTAAAAGATGAACACAACAGCCCATGTTAAAGGTAGTTGGGTAGAGTTTCTGGCTGAGTTCCAGGGTGAGTATAACGTCAGTTAATCTCTATCCCTGCATCCCCCTCGGACATTCCTTCATCAAGTAGTCCTGGATTAGGAATCTGTGGCATGAGATGCTGATGAAGAGCGAGTGAGTATGGTTTTATGCCGCTTTTAGCAATATTCCAGCAACATCACAGTGGGGGACACCTGAAATGGGCTTCACACATTGTACCCGATGTGGGGAATGCCGATGAAGAACCAGTGTTTCTGTCAGTATTCACTGCCTAGCATGGATCATATATCTCAATAAAAACATCAACAAAAGAACATGACCAAGTCTACATCAACATATGTGAAGACCATGCACAACTTCTGGTCCTGAACTGGACAACATCCTGCAGAAGCTAAAGGATTTGTTTGAGGAAAGTGAATGTTACAACCAGTTACAATTCTATCTAATATTACAGTCATATTTTGCTTATTATGGCAAAATTGTGAAATAATTTACAGGTTGTGTTTGAGGGGTCACACATCGGTCACCCGGCCACTTTCCTAACCACAAACAAGTGATGACCTTGACCCTTTGTAAATATTTGCGTACACCCTCAAGACCAGCTGACAACAGTAGTGTAGGACATATCCACCAGTGTTATCAGCTTACAGTGGTAAATAAACACAGCCACGCTCCTGTAGTGAGATTGTGGTGGTCCTGGTAAACAACCATCCTGCTACACATCTGTGCTGAGGAGTTGAGGGTCACCTGTCACACAAGGACACTTCACACTTACACTGGGGACAGGGCGGACTTCACACCAAGGGGTCATGTCAGGTCAGGCAGGTAGTGGGAGGAGCTTAATGAACTAGATCAACCTCGCTGTGTCACATGGCTTCAGGTAGTTGCAAGATAAGACAGTTTGTTGTGTATATACACTTGGGGCCGGTACGGATGACACATTCATCATAGTCCGAATCATCAGTGTTCCAAATTAGGTGGTTCTAGGACCATTGGGGTTTACACTTAAAAGTAACTGAATCTTGGGAAAATGGCAATTTTAAACTTTCATCATTAGATTTGTAACAAGATGACAAAACCTCCTGACTTTAATGTTTCATTTTGAACGTTGCCATCCAATTAATATTGCAGCTGGATTTTATGAGCAAGCAGTGAACAAGTACTGTTAACCTTCTAGCACCTCACACACAGTTAGGGTGGTATAGTCCTCAAGGAGCTGAGAAATAAATCCAGTGAAGAGTGATCCATTGACCAGAGTAATACTGTACCACTTTGAGCATGATTTATTTACCACATGATAAAATCGTTCAGTTGTTATTACTGTTGTTGCAGTTGCTGTTATCATCATTATTGTTAGTTAGTTTACACGGTAGCTTCGTACCCCATGGCTACAGCACATCTGGATGAACATTTTTGTGTGTGAATTAAACATATCCCATGCAAATATTATGATATTCACCACCATGACTACTGTAAATTCACATTATTATAATTTACGGCAGAATTTATTCACCAAAGCTTATAAAATGTCTACATTAGAAGTCAGACATTCTAATAAAGTTTTTGCCTTTCTGACTGCTACAACTGACCCCATAACGTGAGAGGAATCCTATTAATCTGATGGCACACCCAGAAACCATCTGCCATTCTCTTCTGTGATAGAATCACATTGTCCTCCGACTGTGCCACCAAATACACCATCAGAACGCATGCTGCTACCTGGCACAATGGCATGGTAATTAATAAAACACACCTGTAATTATTCACCTGGAAATGTAATTAAAATGCAATTTACATGTGGTAACAGTTTATCTGTCAGTCACACAAATACCTGCTTCACTGGTGAATATAAATTCCTGACCCACATTACATGCTATACATTTGTTGTCAGACACTTTAATTGATGTTCAGGCGAGTTTTGAGCATCAGAGGATACAGGTAAGATCTGATTCCACTGCAAAACACAACATTGTTTAATGTACCATGCATTTTTACCTGTGTTAAAAGTACATGATCAACTCAAACCTGCCTTTGTACGTTTCTGATAAGCATATCTTAAATTCACGATTTCAAGTACCAGTGTTATTAGTCTGAGGAGTAGATTGACTGACAGGGTGTTGAGACACTT